CTGTTTGTCATTGTTGACATTATCATCATTATTATAATCTCATCATCATCATCATCATCATCTCCATCTCCATCTCCATCTCCATCTCCATCTCCATCTCCATCTCCATCTCCATCTCCATCTCCATCTCCATCATCATCATCATCATCATCATCATCATCATCATCTCCTTCATATCTCCACAAGCACCAGCACCACCACCAGCACCACCACCAAAATCATCAACATTGACATCAACATCATCATCACCACCACCACTACTACCAGCATTATCATCACTAGCCTCACCTCATTGACATGACTGCTTGATTCAGACAGGTAATCGACCCAGTCACTTTAATCTTTTGGCTCCACAGAAAACTGGTGTAGATGTATCCTGCAACATTCAGAAGATGTCAACAATGATGATGAATATGATGGAAAGAGGAAGAAAAGGAGGAGTCAATGATGATAGAGAAGGAACAAGAACAAGCAGAAGATGTAGATGATGACGACTGTGGAACAACTGTTTATGCTCCGTTGTCTTGGTACTCACGGTGAAAGATCTGGAAGAGTTCAGATATCTTGTTTCGATCTTAGTGCAGAAAGGTTGGTTGTCCAATCCACAAATGACACTCCCTGAGTCTTTCATTATGACATTTGCAAGATCGACGGGGAAGCTGCAATATAGAAGTGAGCACACGCTACAAAAATGGCTGGAAAGGTGAGAAGGAGAAAGGCAATATTCACCAGCAAGCAACGTCAGTTCATCACAGTCATCATCATCATCATCATCATCTCCATCATCATCATCATCATCATCATCATCATCATCATCATTGTCATCTCCATCGTCATCATCATCCTCAGCAGCAGCAGCAGCAGCAGCAGCAGCAGCAGCAGCAGCAGCAGCATCTCACGACTCATGGTCATCATCGTCTCACTTGGGATAAGTGTGCAGTCGAGCCTGAAAGAAGTTTGTCGACGCGTCCAGCAGCACCATCTCCTCCACTGAGTCCAATCCTGACATGTTCATGAAGACTTTGCCGTAAGTTGTCTCCACCGTCATCGTCATCCTGTGATGCACTTGCGACGCTGGGCTGGGACAGATGGTCGACGTCAAGTTCGCTCCAGTCTCGGAAAGGAAAGCCTGCGGTCAGGTCAGTGAAATTTGATGCTTGTGGGGGTGAGCAGGAGCAGGAGGAGAAGAAGAGAAGAGGAGAGAAGAGGAGAGAGGAGGAGAGAGGAGGAGGATGAAGACAAGGAGGAGCAAGAGGTGGTGTTGAACGGAGAGGGTGGTAGGACATGGCAAGGGTGGAGGACGGGGAGAGGACTAGAAAGAAACACAGATATAAAGAGAACGTGAAGGATACGACGGCAATATTGGAGGAGAAGAGAAGGAAGAGATGAGGCGTCCTCCGACGGAGGTTCAAACCTCGACAGCATCGACGTCGGAAGCAGAGAAGATGGAGGAAGGAATAGAGATCTCGTTCTCATTGGTAGTCAGCTCCGTGGGGGCGTTCAGAACAGGAGCATCGTCAACAGCCATAATGTTGATGTCCATCTCGAACTGAGTTACCTGAGAGAACTTGAGACGAGCAGGAGCAGAAGGAGAAGCAGGACGAGGAAAACGGAAAAGGAAAAGGAAAATGGACGACGGAAAAGAGGAGAGGAGGACCAACGGCAGCATATTTACATCTCCAACGCCTAAGGGATCGCGGAGAGGAAATCCGTAGATGTCAAAGTTGGACGAGCCTTTGTCTACTTTGATGAGAAGCTGTGACGATAATGGTGAGCCGACGTTGAACTAGGAGGAGCAGGGAGCAGCAGGAGGAGGAGGAGGAAGCAGCAGCAGCAGCAGCAGCAGCAGCAGCAGCAGCAGCAGCATGTCTTGCTCGAAACATCGTATGCTCACTTTCTCTGGCAGGGAACCTTTCTTCTGCGTGTTGTAGTTGGGCCAACCGGGAGGAGAGTACACGATAGTCTGAACGAGCTTGTTGATGTTGCTGCATACTTGTCAGTGAGCTGGTAGGAAAGAGCAAGATCTACGTCATGGAGCCGGTGAAGGTGTGGGATTTGCCAGAAGTAGTTGATGGCAGCTTGATACTCCCGAGAATGGTGGAGACGGTTAGCTGGTGAAGATGTTAGGGAAGACGAAATGAAGAAGGAGATGATGATGATGATGATGATGATGGAGATGATATGATGATGATGGAGATGATGATGGAGATGATGATGGAGATGATGATGGAGATGATGATGGAGATGATGATGATGACGACGATTGTCAGAAACAAGAATGTGCAGGAGACGAGTCTAACACGCAATGTAGGAAACAAGGGGAGCGATGACAGGTCAGGAGATGAAGAGCAGAAAGAAGACAGATCGACAAGTTGACATTAAGTACAGACAGAGAGCAGAAGGAGAAAAAACAAACGACATGGTAGGAGAGAAATCACCTGGATGTTTGCAGAGCCAGCAGATACAGTCTGTACTTTGGCAAGCTGAAGAATCCTGTCGGAGTCTTGATAGGAGCCAGAGAAAATTGCGAGCGGGGAAAACTGAATTGAAAGTCAAAAATGTGAGTGAGACTATCAGAGGAGAGAGAGTTTGAATAATTCTTTATGCACGTAGAGAACAGCAGCAGCAGCAGCAGCAGCAGCAAGGAGCAGGAGCAAGAGGAGTAGCAGCAGCAGCAGCAGCAGGAGCAGGAGCAGGAGCAGGAGCAGGAGCAGGAGCAGGAAACAGGAGCAGGAGCAGGAGCAGGAGCAGGAGCAGGAGCAGGAGCAGGAGCAGGAGCAGGAGACAGAATGGGAAGCAGGCGGAGGAGAAGGAGAAGCAGTATATGAGGAAGAGGAGGAGGAGGAGCAGGACCTTGTAGAAGTTCAAAATTCCTCCCGAGGCAATCGGGTAGAAGTAGAAAGTTCCTGACACCTGATAGCCGCAGGAAGTGTTGGTGGCGCATGTAGGACTGACGAGGTCCAGGAGCAGGAAACCTCTCTCCATGACCTGCTGCCACCTCACTAGCTGCCGATGGCATGTGGAGGAAGACAAGAACGAGAGGACGAGGACGAGGACGAGGACAAGGACGAGGACGAGGACGAGGACGAGGGCGAGGGCGAGGGCGAGGGCGAGGACGAGGACGAGGACGAGGACGAGGACGAGGACGAGAAGGACAAGGGTATCAAGAGGGAGGAGGAGGGTGCAAAGGAGGAGGACAGTAAGACTTTCCTTTGTCGTCTGTGTGTCTACGAGCTCTGTCCACAACCTGTAGCTCAAGGAGGAGCCGGTGCCTGCGGGAAACGGAGCATATCAGTCAGAAGATGTGATGGTAGCGCAGCAGCAGGAAGCAGGAAGGGAGTCATAGGTAGTGATGTTGACGCAACAAGAGGGAGTGGAAGCAGCAGCAGCAGCAGCAGCAGCAGCAGGGGAGAGAAGCAGCAGCAGCAGCAGCAGGGAGAGAAGCAGGAGAGAGAAGCAGCAGGGGGAGCAGCAGCAGCAGCAGCAGCAGCAAGCAAGCAGCAGCAAGCAGCAAGCAGCTCACTGGTCGTCTGCCGGCTCTGCGCAAACGAGAAGCCATTGAGCATATAGCAGAGACCCGAGTCGCACACGCACTGGTCCGAAGTCTCCGGGTCCGAGCTGCACGGGAAGAAGAAAGTTCACAGGGCGATTAGAAATCGGGAGATTACTACATCCATCAACACTCCTCTGATCTCTATTCACTTGTACATCTACATCCATCAACACTCCTCTGATCTCTATTCACTGGTACATCTACATCCATCAACACTCCTCTGATCTCTATTCACTTGTACATCTACAACCATCAACACTCCTCTGATCTCTATTCACTTGTACATCTACATCCATCAACACTCCTCTGATCTCTCTTCACTGGTACATCTACATCCATCAACACTCCTCTGATCTCTATTCACTTGTACATCTACATCCATCAACACTCCTCTGATCTCTATTCACTGGTACATCTACAACCATCAACACTCCTCTGATCTCTATTCACTGGTACATCTACAACCATCAACACTCCTCTGATCTCTATCAGACAACAAGATTGTCTCTGACCTGCATTTCCATTCTCCACTCTGCAACTTGGTGGAGGGGCAGGCAAGAGTGCCAGCCTTGCAAAGGATAGCATAGGATGTGTTGCGAACAATCCGAAGTTGGTATCTCGTGCCCCAATCGCTCATAGGGCTCGGAACCCAAACCTTGAGAAGGAATTGTCACATTACAAGACTCTTCGTCTCCGTCCGCTTCATCCTCATCATCATTATCACCCCCCCTGCTGTTTGTCATCATCATCATCTTCATCATCATCTCCATCATCATCATCATCATCATCATCATCATCATCATCATCATCTCCATCATCTCCATCATCATCATCATCATCATCATCATCATCATCGTCGTTCCTTCCTTGCCTCGCGCTCCTCTTCTTTCTCCATGTCACTCAGCCAACAATCTTTCCGACCTGTCTATAAGCTTCTGATGACGTCTGAGCACAGCAGTTTGTCCCGGGAGCACATGTAGTCTTGTCTGCACAGAATGTTGCTTGGTCTGCAACTCTTTCATATCAGTCCCATTGCACGAGAACCAGCGATGCTTTCACCTCCGTTCACTTGAGCAGCGTCTATCGCTGCTGCTGCTCCGGTCTTTGGCAGCACGTCCTGGAAGCGCAGCTTGAGGGACCAGGTCACGTTGCCGTTGTAAGTGCTAGAGGAGGCATGTTGTCAGGAGGAAGAGAAGCAAGGGAGAAGCATCGAACGAGGTATCAGAAAGGATCATGTTCGTCAGCGTCATCGTTGAGGCGTCGTCCTCGAACACGTACAGCCTGCACACCATCTTCAGCCTTCCAGCCTCCCACGATCTCGTTGTCGTTTACTCACCAGCTGTCCTTGGAGTTTGCGCAGGAGGAGCAAACGTTGATGGTGTTGCCGTCGACCGCCGATCTCTTGCAGGTCTTGGATACTACAGCTCCTGCGCAGGTCGTCAGGTGACAAGAGTCAAGTGGACTGTGATGACCATAGGAAGAGATCGGGAGAGTGTTGCATGCTCCGTTCTACCATCACAAGGTTACGACAAGAAATACTAGGCAATCTCGTTCACCAAGTAGGAGGGAACTTGAAGTCGGTTCAGGCTCTGGGCATAAGAGAACGACGGGCAGTTGGACAACATGGGCATCTTCTTGATCTGCAGAATGGAGATTTCACTTTCATCGCTCCACACTCCCTCGCATGACTGCGAAAACCATCCCAACAGCCGGAACAAACTTGCTCAGACGTACCTCGGGATAGTACATGACGGTAGACACCCGGAAGGCTGTCTGGTAGTCCGGGGAAGGAGGAATCAAGATGGTTAGCACTGACATGTCTCCCTGTAATCACAGTCAAGTTCTCAGCTTAACAGTCGGCCAACCGTCCCCACCAGCTCAGCAAGCTGCTCGTTGGAGCTGGCCTCTGCGTTGGTGCTCGTTCCTTTCCTCACGAACTCCAGCTTGCCCAGAGCACAGTTCAGCTGCTGCACTGTGCCACTTACTGCAGAGTACTGTCAGTGACTCCTTGCAAGTGCTGCACTGCTAGCTCACTGATGAAGGTAATCGGCACCATGTCGGCTATCCTCTTCAGAGTCTGGTTTGAGTTCTGCTCGTAGCTGAAACTCCTGATCTGACACTCGGAGTTCATGGCGGAGAAGTCAAACGAAAGGTATCCCATGGTGTAACTGATCCTGATCGTGACGACAGTGTTGAGACTGTACGTCTGGTACTTCTTGCCATTGCTCCTGTAGTTGTAGATATAGAACCCGGTGGTCACCCCCCTTTCTGCTTCCGTGGAGGAGATGGAGGAGTAGTTCCGGATGAGATGGGTTGCGGCATCAGTGTAAAGGTCGACTGCAGGGGTTTGGAGCTGAAGGATGAAGCAGGGGTTCGGGTTCTCCGTCGGACAAGCCGCCTCCATGTCGGCGTCGGTGTAAGGGGAGTACAGAAGTTTGTTGGTGCAGACCCCGGTAGTCTGACCCGGCGCGCAGAAGTTGTTGATCACGGTACATCCCGTGAGCTGGATGATAAGGTAGAGGAGGAGAAACCGGCACGACCATCGCGTGTCCATGTCTACAGTGAACCCTCCGCACTACCACACGGATCCTTCAGTCCCAGGCTCAGACAGTCGCCCAGAGACCTTCTCCAGTCATGATGGCCTGGTCCTTCTCTTGCTCGTGCTCGTGCTCTTGCTCTTGCTCTTGCTCTTGCTCTTGCTCTTGCTCTTGCTCTTGCTCTCCTACTCCCAGCCGCTCCTCTGCGAGTCCCAGCGCTCGCAGTCCTGTCCTGCCGCAAGCACCCTACTATCTGAAGAGTCGACGAGGAAAGGAGGTGGGGGTAGTCTATCAAGAGACAAAAGGGTGGGTTTTGAAAGGTTAAAATAACGGTAGGGGTGCATAAAATTGGAAGAGGGTGGGGTACTTATTTGAAATGCCTTGTCATGTTCTGAAGCAAAAACAAAATCGTAAAAGTTAAAAAGAAAATCATCCGACATCGATCCGGGGACCGGCGGGCCCTCTGCCGAGTACCCGATCAAGTCAAAGAGGCGGGCTCGTCTAACTTAGAGGCTCTGTGACGGGGCGGCCCGGCGGCGAACGGCCATGCCAGGCTCCGAAGTCGTAGGGCGCCGCCGCCGGGGCGCGGGCCGGATGAATAGTTCGATTCAGTGTCACAGTGTGGCCGAGTCCGACAAGTTCGACTAGGGTTTAGGCCTTTCAGTCACTGCAGGGGCCTCGGGGAGGCCGCGCCCCCCCGCGCCCCCGCTGAGCTGGTACCGGCGTGCTAAATGCAGACTGAGCCTGGGGGAGCCGGGGTAACTGGTGACGTCCTACCGGCCCCCCCGTAACTGAGTTAGGCTAGTTAGTGATATGACTGATACCGCCCGGTTGCGGGGCCGGGCTGAGGCGGGCCGCCTGAAGCCTCCGCTTTCTGAAAGACGCTCAGTGCACAGAACGTAACTAAATTTCCAAGTCACACTGTCAACTAAATTTCAAACCTAACTTAAAAATTTGATTCATTGACTGTTCAATTTCGAAGGTAAGTGAAATATAGGGACAATCTGCAAAATTGGCCTGTCAAAGTTGTCAGAGAGCGGCGACATGGGGGGGACCGAGTCGATACTGTGCGGAGATGAGGTAAGAGCTCGGGTGGAGGAGGAGGTGGTGGTGGTGGAGGAGGAGGAGGAGGAGGAGGAAGAGAACGAGAAGTAGAGGATATGGGAGAAAGGATGACGATGAGCAGGAGAGAGGAGGAAGGGGAGAGAAAAAGTGAGAGAACTGGTGGGAGAAAAGGGAAGAGATGGAGGTAAGGATTCAAGGTAGACAGAGAGGAGGATTGAACAGGGATGGGAGGGTGGAGCGATCTTGCATGTAGATGCAAATGGGTACAGGACGAAGTCAGAGTCTCTGAAGGGTGGAGGGCTTCGAAGGAGGTATAAGAAAGGCAGGAAATAGGATTTCGAGCTGATGTGAGAAGAACATGGAAGAAGATGTACGGAGTGAGGACTGACGAAAAGATCTACTGATGTGTATGAGAGGAGGGAGGAAGGCGTGTCTGTTGTCGTCGACCTGACATGCGCTCTCACGACAGGCGTGTTGTTCCTCAAGAGAGTTCGAGGAACCCAGGAAAGAACATCGGATGAACAAACCAGAGTGGAAGGGAATGTGCGGTATCGGGATCGGCCTGGACCCGCAGCTCATCGCTCAATCCGAGGTCCTTGAACATGCTGCTTGCTCGCGTTCAGCTGAAGTCGTTCCAGGCTGCCGTGATAGTGTCCCTGGCTGACGACGGACCAGCTTGCAAAGGTTGTTGAGGAAGAGGAGGAGGGAGGAGGGAGGAGGGAGGAGAGGAAAAAGCACAGCAGAAGCAGAAGCAGAAGCAGAAGCAGAAGCAGGTTAAGGAGGAGAAGCAGGTGAAGGAGGGTAAGGAAAAGTAGGAGCAGAAGGAGCAGGAGGAGGGAAAGGAAGACAGAAGTAGTAGAAGGAGGAGCCTGTAGTGATCATGGAGCAGGAGGACTAAACGTGGGAGATGTCATCCAGAGAATAGACGACCTTGACGTCGATGACTTGATGCGGAAGGTGAAGAGAGGCGAGAAATTGCTGCTGCTGCTGCTGCTGCTGCTGCTGCTGCTGCTGCTCCTTCTCCTCCTCCTCCTCCTCCTCCTCCTCCTCCTCCTCCTCCTCCTCCTCCTCCTCAGAGCCGGCAGACAACCAGTGAGCTGCTTGCTGCTGCTGCTGCTGCTGCTGCTGCTTCCGGCTGCTGCTGCTGCTGCTGCTGCTGCTGCTGCTTGTTTGTTATGATAGCAGTGAATGCTATCCTTGCCGATGTTTGTTGAGATGTTCTCAAAGTCCAATCACAGTTTCACCAGATGAAAATGAACAACAACGTTATGGGCAATACAAGCGCTGCTTCGACTCTAGCGAGCGCTCTCCTCGGACCTGAAGGTACGTGTTGCATGTTCAAGCTTCAGTCGTAAATTTCTCATCTCCCTGCCGCTGCCGCTGCCGCTGCCGCCGCTGCTGCTGCTGTCATCCTCGTCTTTGACCCCGTGGACGCAGGCACAACTGTACAAATCACGGTCACGAGGACTATCGACAGGAAGATAACAAAGGTGTTCGAGTCTACTACATTCTTGTGCTGACTCTCTCATCTTATTAGCTCACCTTTGTTGTCCCACGAGGATTCTTGAACAAGACAAGTCAGGTAAGTTTGTTTGCTCGAGATAAATCTGCTGCCTGTCTGCCTACTGATTCTGTTTTGTTTCTTTCTGTTTTCTCGGACATCAAAACATGACGCTGACTGATACTGGATCAGTGGATCAGCCCCAACAAGTCGAGATGAAAACGACAAGTGCTATCAGCAGCCTTTTATGTCAAGATCAGCATCGTCAGCTCCAACATCACAAAATCTTATGACCCGCGCGCAATGACAATCAGTCACGGTGGTGCTCGGTCTCCCCGCCAAAGATTACTTCTCATTCACGATGGTCCGACTTCCGTCTGACTCGACAAGACGGGAGGAGAGTGAAAGTAAAAAAGTTTGAAGAGGACAAGAGAATGAAGTTCTCTGTTACTAAAGCACTTGCGTATCTGGTATTATAACACTCTTGTATCTGTCACCACAACACATCTCTCTTGTATCTGTTACAACAACACATCTCTCTTGTATCTGTTACAACAACACATCTCTCTTGTATCTGTCACCACAACACATCTCTCTTGTATCTGTTACAACAACACTTCTCTATCGTGATTGTTACTATAACACTTCTCTAGCGTTTCTGTTACATCATGCTTGTCTCTTATTTCGTCATCTTCCGCCGCTCAGATGCTGTTTGATGTCCTTCCAGGTCAAGGGGTCTCGCCCTGCCTCCAACTCCACCTCCACCCATGGCACCTGCCAACTCCTTATCAGTCCTGCTGCTGCTGCTGCTGCTCCTCCTCCTCCTCCTTCAATCAAACCCCTTTCCAATCCTCCTCCTCGTCCCCTCTCTTTTCCTCGTCCTTGATCTCGTCCTGCTCCCCTCTCCCCCCATTTTCTCGCATGCCTGCAAAGCAAGATTCTTCCTCCTTCTGTCCGTCTCCTGTTGCATCATGAGTCCTGAACATGAAGTGCAAAAGGACGGACAAGCATGAAGGATGGGAGGAGGATGAGGATGATGATGATGATGATGATGATGATGATGATGATGATGATGATGAGGAGGAGGAGGAGGAGACGGAGGAGGAGGAGGAAGAGGAGACGGAGGAGGAGGAGGAAGAGGTGATGGTGGTGGAGAAGGGCTGGCAGAGCAAGAGATGAAGAAAAGCAAATAGAAAGAGAGTGAGGGAGGAAGGGAAGAAGGCGGGAAAGAGTTGAAGGACGACCAGGGTGGCGCTATCCTCATAGAAACAAGATTCGACGTTTGCCTCTGGGAACAGCTGAGGGAACGCAGAAAGTCAGTCGTCATTGTTAGGCTCGAGTTCGTCAACCACAAACAACATCCCCATCAAGCGCCCTACCCACACCCAACCCTCAACCCTCGTGAACATCAGCATCGACATGTACATGTACAAGTCCATCATCATCGTCATCATCACCATCACCATCACCATCACAATTAACATCATCATCATCTCCACCACCATTATGTTTGAAGTAAGCCATCATTATCGCATCTTTCCTCCTCGTCCTCTTCTTCGTCCTACTCCAGCTCATGTTGTCCCTCAACACATCGTCGTCGTCAACATCACGATCATCATCGTTTCTGCGAATACACAAACTCACCCGAGCCAGATGCTTGCTCGTCAGCTCTTGTCCGAGGATGAAGTATGCATTCCATTCCACACAGCCGATAAAGCGATACCTCCACAACTCTATCAATCCTCCTCCTCCACCACCTCCTCCTCCTCCTCTGCAGCCCCCCAATCCCCCCTTTGTTTCCCCCCCGGCTTACTGGTAGCGGCGCAATAGCTTGACAAACGCCATGATCGAGGCTCCGTACTGAAATGAATCTGCAGCCTGGTTGATGTGGAAGGTCAGACGAACAGAGCAGAGGAAAGAGCAGGAGGAGGAGGAGGAGGAGGAGGAGGAGGAGGAATCAAAACTCACGGAGAAGGGTGAGGAAGAGAGAGAGGAAAGGGACGTAGGCAGCAAGAAGAGAACGAAGGAGGAAGGGACTGCTTCACCGCATGAAAGGAAGGAGAGTAGGGCCGTGTCAACGCAAAGCTCTTGCCGAGATGAGAAGCAAACTCAGTTGTAACGACGCGTGGACGATATCTGAACGAGACGAGGTCGTCAGAGTGAACAGACACAAGTCAGTAGTTGTTCGATAGAAGACACAAGTCAGCAGTCGTTAGAGTGAAGACACACGTCCGTAGTTGTTAGAGTGTGAAGTTAGAGGTTATCGTATCTGTACCCGATCTCCAGGAGGTTGCTCAGGATGTAGTAGTCCATGCCGTCGATGTCGATGCTGTTGGTGCTGCTGGTCAGTCCAGCCGTTGAGATGTGACGCGACGCACCTGAAGAAGTCGATGTCTTGCTTGACGTCTGCTGAGCCGAACGCAGTTGTGATGAGCGAGTCGAGGTTATCTTTCGTGACAAGTGCTGTCGACCATTCAAGTCAAGAGCTCGCAGTTCGAACATGGCAGACACGATGAGTTTGATAGGGGATAGAAGGCGAGCAAGACAGCAAGAGCAAAGAGCAGGATCACAGGTAATATGCAAGAGAAGATCGCGATGAAGCAAACGTGGAGTTGACAAGATATTGACATCGTATCACTTTTTCTGAACTCAGGCATCTTCATCTGGATTGGGCTCTGCTTGCAATGAACGTTGTAGCAAGACTCGAGGCAGAAAGGAGCACAGTGCCTCTGCAAGTCCTGCTCGCTCGGCTGGAAGACAGTAGATGTCAGATGGTAAAGGAGGACGAGGACGAGGACGAGGACGAGGACGAGGACGAGGACGACCGTGTGAGGAAGTGGAAGGAGGAGGGAGGAGTAGGAGTGGGTTTGAGGAGAAGGGAGGAGGGAGGAGAAGCAACCATACACAGGAGGGAGGAGAAGCAACCATACACAGGTAGGAGGGAGGAGAAGCAACCATACACAGGTAGGAGGGAGGAGAAGCAACCATACACAGGTAGGACCTGCTTGAAAGTCCTCGAGTCATAGCTCTTCTTGTGGTCTTCCTTGACGATCTCAAGATACCTGCCGGACGATGACGTCATCGTCTCGGTCCCCGAGCCCTCCTCCCCCACCTGTCCAGTGGCGAGTACCAGGACTCCGTGATCAGAGGGTCTGTGTTGCCGTCCAGTCTGGCAGGGAGGAACGAAGCGAGTCAGCTAGTCAGCTCTGCCCCTGCCGTGTCACGCACAGAAGACCCGAGAAACGGGCGTTGACGATCAGGTTGACCGAGTTTGCCTCGTGCGGGAAGTAGCCGATCTCCACTGATCGTCTTCGAGCTCACGTCAGCACAGGAAGCAAGTGCACCTTTACATCCACTAGCACGTCACCTGCTCCCCCAGCCTATCAGGCCGAAGATGCGGTACAAGAGCCCGTCGTCCCCACACTGCGTATCCTTAGACCCCCGGCCGGCATCGTTCAGGAAGGACCTGAGAGAAGCAGGAGAATTCAAAGTCCCTCCACACTGCCTTCCTCCTCTGCGTCTGCGGCTGCCGGAAGCTTGCAAGCTCGCTCCTGCTCCTCACTCGCTCGTACGCCTGGGAGCCGGGTGAGGGGTGGAGGGTGCTTCATCAGGGAGCGCAAGAGCTTACCTGCTCTAGTTCCTGAAGGAGGCCATGCACTTCCTTCGTCGGTCCCTTCCTCCCGTCCATGTGATGCACGTCTCCTGCGGGAATGCCCCTGTGCCCGCACTGCCGCTGGAGTTTCCTGCGATACGTTTAGAGCCCTCGACGACGAGCAAGAGGGAACGAGCACAGAGAGGCAAGACGAGTGAGAGCAGGGGGCATAAAAGTTCGAGGAGATGAGAAAAGACAGCGGGATGCAACAACAAGCACAAATGATCGTTCCCTCCTGTCTTCTCTCTTCTCTCTCCACCCTCCTCTCTTGCGACTGCGCCTTCTTCCCCTCCACCCCTCCTCATCTTCTCCCTCCCTCTCAACATCTGCATCGCATCAGTCAACCTGTGCAGATCAAAAATCTTCATTTCATCTCCTTGCAAACCAGCATAGCGCCTCTCATCGAACTCAGCTTCCTGTCGTTCTCCTCGCGGGGCTTCATCCGAGCTCTGCTGGCTGCAAGGGTGTCACGACACGCATCCCAGCAGAGCTTCGAGAGGGATTCTTACTGGACAGACTGCTGACGACGTGTAGATAGATGTCGAACGTAGACGAAAACAAAGATCTGATGGACAAAATGTAAGCCCAAGAGCCGTCGCGGGAGCCGGGCCAGGGTAACAACCAACCCCCTCCTGACCCTGCTACTGGGCATATGAGCATGTCACCTGAAGGCCTATCACTGCTGCTATGAAGAGCTTGCAGCGCAGCCCTGGTCCTTTCTTCTTCCTTAGCCTCGTCAGCCCAACTCCTGACAGAGGCGGCATGCGTGTCCTTCAAACAACAGTCAGCAACTTCCCATCCCCTCGCCTCGTCCCGTCCCGTCGTCTCGACTCGTCTGCTTTCATCCCCTCCTCTTTCTCCTCTCCTCTCCTCTCCCCTCCTCTCCGCTTTTGTGTTCTCTCTTCGCATCTCCTCTCCTCTCCTCTTCTCTCCTCTCCTCTCCTCTTCTCTCTTCTTCTCTTCTCTTCTCTCCTCTTCTCTCCTCTTCTCTCCTCTCCTCTTCTCTCCTCTTCTCTCCTCTCCTCTCTTCTTCGCATATCTCCTCTTCTCTCCTCTCTTCTTCTCTCCTCTTCTCTCCTCTCTTCTTCTCTCCTCTTCCTCTCACTCCTCCTCGCGTCATCTTGCAAGGCTCGCTGATCCTCTTTCTATGACCTCGTCACGCCATCACGCCTTCTCAACTTGCGTCGACCTCATTTCCTATCCAATCACCGCCTCCAGACGCTGTCCTCCGCTACCGCCTGAGGCGGACTCGATGATCGGAGTCACTCAGGACCCACTGTTCCGACGACTCAGTGACTGAAAAAATCGGACCGTAAGTTCCAAAGTCAAGTCACTGAGTTAACAGGCCCCCGGGCGTCCCGGGGCGGCGGCCCCCTCGCGCCGCGGCGGCCCCGCTGGACCGGGTCCGCCGGGGCCGTGCCGGACCGCGGGAGTACGGTCCGGTCCCGGTCAGGGTTCCGGCCGGGAGTCCGGGCCCCCCGGTCACCGGGTGGCCGGGCCACCGTGTTCACGTTTCATGTTCCGAAGTTCGGAACTCGGAACCGCCAGTTTCCATGGTATCAGTGCCGGGCCGGGTTGTCACCGGGTGGAGCCCCGGCGGATCCGACCGTCTCCGGGACCCGGGCCCGGCCCCGGAACTTCCGAAGTTTCAAGGAAGTTTGAAGTTTGTACTCTTGTACTACTGCCTCTGCTGCTGCCTAGGGTTGAAGTTTGAAGTTTGAAGTTTGAAGTTTGAAGTTTGAATTTTTGAAGTTTGAAGTTTGAAGTTTGAAGTTTGAAGTTTGAAGTTTGAAGTTTAGTAAAAATTGGTCACCTCAAGATCAGCCAGGCTGACCGATTTTTTACTTTCCACGACCAACCAGTCTAAAGGGGGTAGGGGTTGAGACCAACCAGTCTCAAGGGGGTAGGGGTTAAGACCAGCACGTCTCAAGGGGGTAGGTGTTGGGACCAACCGTCCTCAACGGGGTAAGAGTAAGGGTTATCAAAGGGGGTCAGGACCAACCAGTCTCAAAGGGGGTCAAGACCAACTAGTCTAAAGGGGGTAGGGGTAGCAAAATGGGTCGAGACCAACCAGTCTAAAGGGGGTAGGGGTAATGCTTGAGATATACTGTCGATGTGTAGGGAGGGGGTGGTTTTCTGGGAACAAGGGGGTGGTCAAAGAGGGGGAATGAGTTTTTTTATTTTACGTATCCAGTGGGCTAGGGAGACGACAGGCGGACAAGGAACAAGGAGTATGGTAGAAGATGAGGAGAGAGGAGAGGCAGGAGATGGAACGATCAGGCGCGGAGAGTGGAGTATGATATGATACCATAACACATAACTCCTTGTTGTTTCCTTCTCGTACCCCCTTGGGTTCTTTCTTCATCCTTTTTTTGTGTTAACTGATGCCATCTGAGCATTCAAGTGAAATCCTTTCAAGAAATCTGATGACAATGCCGAAACAATGCATGTTATTCCTTTTCCTCGTCGTATTTCCATGCATATCAGCTCAGCCGGGTCCCCTCGGAGCAAACCTTCCTCCCATCGAGCCCAGCTTTGCCTTGTCGGCATCTGGCTGGCCTGATTTCTCCACCGTGGACGTTGGAGTATTTCGAGATCTCTTCATGCACGTCTCGCCCTGGTATGAAAGAAATCTGCTCTGCTCTGCTCTGCTCTGCTCTGCTCTGCTCTGCTCTGCTCTGCCCTCCTCTAGCTCCCCTCCCCTCCTGTCCTCCCCTTCCAGTCCTCTCCCCTTCACGCCTGATGCCGTGGGTCTACAGGTACTACAGCTCCTGCAGGCTTGACGGCTCGAAGAAGTTGGTGTGTAACATGATCACTTATCGCTTCAACACTCCTTCGACCCCGCCGTACACAACTGCTTGCGGGGAAGGAGGAATCGACGGGGGAGCCACCTGCCCGACCTATCCTTCCAAGTTGTACTACAAGAATGCCGGGGAGTTCGACCAGGCCGTAGCCTTCATCGGGCGATACGGGAACCACACCCCTGCTGGGAACTACGTGGTGCTGTATGATGGCGAGGGGGAGATACAGTTCGGAGGAGACGCTTCTGTGATACCGAGGGTCCCCAACGACAAGTACTCCGATGCTCGAGACATTTACATCTCAGTCAGCCCCGCGATCGGGGTTGAGGTCCGCATCGTCCGCACCAACGAGACAAACCCGGTTCGCAACATCCGCATCCTCCCTCTGGATGGCCCGGACTTCCTCTCCACCAGCACTTTCACCAGCGTGTTCTTGGAAGCTCTGCGGGGACTACAGGTTATCCGGTTCGGGTTCTGGCAGGAGACTGTCAGGCCCGGTGACGACGGGCCGGCCAACAACGCTCCTCGGCTCTGGAAGCACCGAGCTCTGCCCGAGGGGCCTCAGGGGCACCAGCAATGGCGGAAGGCTCGTGACGACGTCCTGACAGGGGCGGCGGACAAGACAGTCGTGGATCCAGGGGTTGCGATCGAGCTCATGGTCGAGCTTGCAAACACCCTTCATGCCTCTCCCTGGTTCTGCATGCCTCCTCCTTCTCCCGAGTCAGTCAGCAGCACAGATGTGTTTGACGACTACAACTCCAAGTTCGCCACTCTGGTGGGGACGACTCTCGATCCCTCGCTCCAGGTGTACGTGGAGTGGAGCTCGGGGACAGGATACGCCAACTGGGACAAAACCAAGTCACTTGCCGTGTTCCGAGCATGGACGAAGACTTTCAATGACCTGCGGGCGTCCAACATGTCAGTCCCTCGACTGGTGCGGGTCGTGAGCACGACCAAATTCGTGTCCGAGATCACCGACCACTTCGGCTCTGACCTTCAGTTCGTGGACGCGTTCGGAGTCAGCGCGAAGTTTGGGATGGAGACGACCGACGTTGTCAACGACCCGACGGGGGAATGGTTCCAAGACTTCGACTTCCCCCTGAAGCATCCCAACATCACAGTGAACGAGATTCTTGACCTGATGAGGGAAAACTCCATGCACTCCGAGCAGAAACTCAACACGCTGATTCAGAGGTTTCGCGCCATTTACCTGATCAAGACCGGGAGGCCGGACGTTCCGGTCCTCGCGTACAGAGGCGGCTCGTGGGTCAACGCAAGGTCCTTCGGCCACAGAGCTGCTGTGTACAACATCCAGATGTGCATATCGCGCGACGTGTTTCCTTGCGAGACTACCTACGGCTATGGCGTGCTGGACGGGCCGCTCACTGCCTCCACCACGCTGGTGACAGCGACGGCGAACGCTGCTCTCGAGCTTCAGCTGGAGCAGAAGCTGATCAATGCCAGTCGGCACCCTCGGATGACGGGGATCTACATGGACTTCATCGAGCGCTGGCGGAGGATAGGAGGAGGCGTCTTCGTGACCTCCGAGCTCTACAAGCCCGCGGGGATCTGCCCGACGGGAGGGAAGGACTGCGCTAACAACGGCCTCATGGAGAGTTTGTCTGACTCCCCCAAGCTGCGGGCAGTCAAGAACTACATCAACGGCGTCCCTCTCATCGAGCCCTTCACGTCAGCTGACCTCCACCAGGAGGCAGAAGTCCCCTGCTCCCCGGCCTGCGTGCACGGCACTTGCTGGCAGGGGGCGTGCGAGTGCTGGAGGGGATTTGCTGGCGCGAGCTGCACGGAGGTAGTTCCGCGTCCGAACCAGTGCGAGCATGACATCGGCATGAACGTGGGAGGGATCAGCGACTGGTCAACCGAGTGGACGTTCGTCGACGTGTTCAAGGCCAGCAGGGACTGGATCCCGCAGGACTTCACCTCCTTCACGTGGGCCACCGGCATCCCGATCGAGGTGAGTGATGTCTGAGCTGGCTCCCTGCTGAGCTGCTGCTGGGCCCTGACTCTGCTGCAGCTGGGAGACAACGACTACCCCACTCGCCTGAAGCCCAACCAGAGGGTCGGCACGATGATGATCCGTGACTTGTACGGGCATGCCCCTGCTGGGGTGTACGTGGTGACCTACGACGGCGACGGGATCCTGTCGCCGATCATGTCGGACATCAAGAGCGTGAGGAGAGGAGTCGGGAGGATGGAAGTAGAGGTTCAGCCGTCTACCGTCTTCAACAACGGCTTCTTCCTCGTCATCGAGCGAACGAACCCGGCCGACCCCATCCGCAACATCCGCGTCATCATGCCCGGATTCGAGCACAGGGCCAAGAGCTTCCCCTTCCACCCCTGGTACCTCCAGAGCATCGAGCACTACCGGGCCCTCCGCTTCATGGATTGGTCGAGAGCAAACGTGCAGCAGTCGGGCAGCTGGGCGCACAGGACGAAAGTGAACGACCGAACGTACGCTGGCGACATTCAGTACAACATGGAACCGGACGGGACGACGGGGAACTCGACGGTCAAGATCTGGAGGGACGGAGTTCCGATCGAGCTCATGGTGCGGCTGGCCAATGAGATCGGGGCTGACCCCTGGTTCACCGTCCCGTACAATGCCGACGACGAGTTCGTGCGGGAGATGGCGGGGCTGGTGCTGTCGACCCTCCGCAAGGACGTCAAGGTAAGGAAGAGCCTCTCCTCGCACTCCCTCTCACGCGGCTCAGGTGTACCTGGAGTGGACCAACGAGGCATGGCACACGGGGTTCGAAGGAGGGAAGTACGCCCAGCTCATGGGACTGCAGCTCGGGTTGCAGCAGGGAGGATGGTACGGAGGAGATGCGAACGAGGCACGCTTCTGCTACATCGGCTACAGGACAGCGCAGATCGCCAGGATCTGGAAGCAAGTGTTCGGAGCGGAAGCCGATCGTGTCATTGTTGTCGCCTCCACTCAGGCCGTCTGGACGATCGTGACTGACAAGCTGCTCTCGTGCCAAGACGCTTACAAGGACATCGACGTCGTCGGGATCGCTCCCTACTTCGGTGGTTACGACCCCAAGAACGCCTCCCTCACCCTTGACATCCTCTTCCGAGAGACCATCCCCAAGTCCATCGCCGAGGGCAGGGCCTTGCTCGTCGAGCATGGCCGCATCGCGTCACGCTACAACAAGACGCTGGTGCTGTACGAGTCAGGTCAGAGTCTGGTGGGCGACGGATCAGCCAAGGACCTCGGGATCCTGGCGAACAGGGACGAGAGGATGGGGCTGATGTACCAGATGTACTACAAGGACATGCTCAACATCGGTATGCGCGGGATCAAGATGCACTTCAGCTCTGCTGGAAGGCCCAGCAAGTACGGCAGCTGGGGTCTGCTGGAGGCCACGGACCAGAACAGGGCGTTCGCGTACAAGTACCAGGCGCTCCTGCAGCACATGGAGGACGAGTTCAACTGCATCATCAGGCCGTACGGCGGCTGTCCCAACAACTGCTCCTCTCACGGAGAGTGTCTGTCGTCAGGTGCCTGCGCCTGCTACTACGGGTATGAGGGGAGCGACTGTAGCGTCATCCGGTACATGGACGTGGTGGACTGCGGGTACAAGTGCACGTTCGACCAGGGGAGCTGCGATCTCTTGAGGACGGAGGACGAGATAACGCGCTACTTCGGGTGTCACTGCGAGGATGGGTTCTTCGGGGTGACCTGCAGTCTCTTCAACGACACATGCAACGGCAACGGGGAGGCAATCGATCTTGATGTCTGCAGCTGCTACCCGGGATACGCCGGCGACCACTGCGAGTTTGACTGCTCCTGCAACGGTCACGGCAGGTGCAGCGCTGACCAGTCCTCGTGCATCTGCGACAAGGGCTGGCGGGCGGGAGCTGGGGGTTGCGAGTGGGACTGTGACTGCCCCGACGGCGTCGAGTGCATCGGGCCCGGCGAGTGCGGCTGCTTGCCGGCATGCCAGCACGGGACGTGCCACCACGGCAGCTGCCTGTGCTGGGTGGGGGCGGAGGGCAGGGCATGCGAGGTCCTGAAGAACGAGAGCGATGGGAGGACGGGAGTCGGTCTGAACCTTGGAGGAGCTGCATACTGGAGTACCCAGTGGATATTCACCGACGCGATGAAGCAGAGCAGCGAGTGGTTCGCGCACAGAGCGGATGACATGGGCCCTGGAGCGTGGGATACGGGAGAGCCGATCTACGTGGACGGCAAGGGATGGCCCGTGCGGCTAGGGCCAAGGCAGGCGCTGGGAAAGCTGCTGATGAGGAACGTACTGCAGCATGCGCCTACGGGCACCTTCACCGTGGAGTACGAGGGGAAGGGGTCGATGACCTTCGGGTTCGACTCCAAGGTGGTCACGAGGTCCAAGAACAGGATGGAGGTAGTCTTCCGCCCCTCCGTCGACTGGACCTGCGCAGAGTCGTTCCAGGCGTACTGCGGGGACAACGGGATGTACCTGAAGATCGAGGAGAGCGACCCTCGTGACCCCATCAGAAACATCCGCATCCTCGCTCCTGGGCTCGCGTCGCTGGGCTCGCATTCTGAGTTCCATCCCTGGTTCCTCAGAGACATCGCTCCCTTCGGCATCCTGCGCTTCATGGACTGGCAGGGGACCAACGACGCAACTGTGCAGGAGTGGAAGGACAGGACAAGGACGGACTTCGCGTCGCAGGCCAACGTGAACAAGCTCAAGGACGCTGGGATGGCGCTGGAGCACATGATCAGCGTTTCCAACATCCTCCGCTCCTCCCCCTGGTTCTGCATCCCCCACACTGCCAGCGACGACTACGTGCGGCAGATGGCGAGGCTGGTGCGGGAGACGCTAAGGAAGGACGTGAAAGTCTACGTGGAGCACAGCAACGAGGTCTGGACGAGCGGCCACAAGTCAGGAGCCTACTGCGAGCAGAGAGGGCTAGAGCTGGGGCTGAGCTCGGACAAGAACGAGGCCAGGTGGAGGTACAACGCGCTGAGGAGCAGGCAGATCTGGGACATGTGGAGGGAAGAGTTCAAGGAGGAGCCGTCGCGCGTGGTCCGTGTGCTGAGCACGTGGGCGATCAGCCCGAGGACGACCACGACGATGCTGCAGTTCAACGAGACGTGGAGGGCGACGGACTTGCTGGCCACCACTGGCTACCTGGACTGCCGGGGGCTGGGCTCGGACAGGAAGACGCAGGCGCTGACGATGACGGTCGCGGCGATCTTGGACGAGTGCGAGAAGAGTGTTGATGACGTCATCGCGTCCTACCAGGAGCACAAGAACATCGCCGACCAGTACAACATCCCTGTCGGGTTCTACGAGGCTGGACCGGGACTGGTGGAAGCGAGCGCCATCTCCTCCGGCTCCTTCACCGCCTCCCTCACCAGGAAGTTCATAGAGGCCCATCGCTCCCCGCGCATGGGCGACATCTACCGCTCCCTCCTCTCTCGCCTCAACGCCTCCGGCCTCCTCTCCCCCCGCTCCCCCTGGATGCACTTCTCCAGCGTCGGGAACCCGACGCAGTATGGCAGTTGGGGGGCGCTGGAGTACACGGGGCAGCCGCGGGAGGAGGCGCACAAGTACCGGGCGCTGCTGCCCTTCCTCAGTGAGAGGACGAGGATGCAGCAGACTTGCGTCAACCTGAGCCTCCCCTCCCGCCCCTCCGTCCTCCTACTTCAGCAGGGCTTCTACGGTCCTCCAGCTGTTACCTCCCCCCGGGCAGGGGACGTGTGGGGGGAGGGAGAGAGGAGGATGGTCAGGTGGGACGCTGCTGGGGCCGGAGCGAGACAGTTTGTGCAGGTGTCGCTGTGGCACTTGACAGACTGCGGCGGCAAGGAGCAGCGCGTCGCCCTGCTCGCGCTCGCGACCCCCAACACGGGCATGCTGGAGGTTCTCGTGCCGAGGGTGCCTGGGGAGTCGGACAAGTACTTCCTCACCATCTCAGGAGCTGCCGGAACCAACTACAGCGAGCCCTTCACCATCCGCCCCCACTACGCCCTGCTCGCCTCCTCCTGGTCCTCCTGCTCCTCCTCATGTGGGCTGGGCTACCGCACCCGGACTGTGTCCTGCATGAGGGACGAACGCTGGGAGCAGCCGACGGTCTCCATGGAGAAATACCCGGACCCGCGTTTCTGCACCATGGCAGTGAACTGCAGTCAGCACCCCCTGAGCAAGGACGGGAGGCAACAGAAGTGCAGCCAGTGGGACCTCTCCCTCTTCGTGGATGGGGGGGGTAGGCTGAGCCCCTGCTTCTTGGACGAGAACAACTGCCGCCAGTACCGCACGGGGACGGTGAACTACCGGAGCAACTTCAAGCCTGTGCAGGACTGCACTAAGATCAACCGTGACTTCATGGCCCCCGTCCGCAGGCCTGCCGAGCTTCTCCCGCATGCTCACTGCCTCGCCCTGCAGCTCCCTTCGCTCCCGTCCTCGCAGGCTTGCTTCGACGTGCCCTGCGGCTCCTTTGGCTGGCGGCCTGGAGCCTGGGGCGCGTGCTCGGCGACGTGCGGGGGAGGGAGCCAGACCAGGAGCGTCGAGTGCGTCGACCGCAACGGCGTCGTGCAGGAGGACAGCAGCTGCGACCCCAGCACGAGGCCAGCAGGATGGCAGACTTGCGGCATGATCGCATGCCAGTCGTACCAGTGGCGAGCGACCGCCTGGTCCTCCTGCAGCAGCACGTGCGGGCCCGGCAGCATGACGAGACAGGTGACATGCATGTCCAGCTCGGGCCTGCCTGTTCTTGGGTCGCTCTGCCAGCTCGATGAGAGGCCGGCGGATCAGGCAAGCTGCCAAGGATTCTCCTGCGATGCCCCCGCAAACTTCAGCTGGAGTGTCGACGCCTGGCAGCAGTGCAATGCCACGTGCGGAGGAGGGTACCAGAACCGGACGGTGAGGTGCGTGAGGGTGGCGACGAAGGAGGAGGTGGAGGATGCGGCCTGCCTGTCGCTCCGGGCGAAACCTGCGGTGCTTCAGACGTGCAACAAGGTCGACTGCGCTCGCTTCGCCTGGTTCGTCGGCGAGTGGAGCACATGCTCGGGAGGGTGCGGGCTGGAGACGAAGACGCGAGCAGCGTCGTGCTACTCAGTGACGGAAGGAAGTGTTGTGTCTGACGAGCTCTGCGCGAGCTTGCCGAAGCCCCGGACGTCCGGCTACTGTGAGGTCCCGGCGTGCGGGCGGCAGTGCGAGGAGGTAGACTGTAGCGGTCACGGCACTTGCAGCGTCGACCTCAAATGCGAGTGCCAGGAGGGATGGACTGGGGCAAAGTGCAGCGCCGACCAGAGGGCATGCAGCACCGGTCTCTATGACCACGATGGCAAGTGCTGCGAGGGGGTGGTGGATGCGGAGGGGAAGTGCTGTGAGAAGGAGCTCGGGGCAGACGGCCGATGCTGTGAGGGGTGGGTGGACGCCTGCGGCGTGTGCAACGGGACGAGCACGTTGGTGGACCTGTCGGGGATCTGCTGCTCCTCCTCGCAGCTGGACTCGTCGGGCTACTGCTGCGAGAGAGGAGCGGTAGACGAGTGCGGGGTCTGCGATGGGGACGGGAGCAGCTGCGGGGCCCTCCTTTCCTTCAGCGTGCCAGTGACCTCGAGCTCGGACGTGCTGGAGTTCGCCAAGCTCGGGGCGCTGGTGCAGAACATCACGTCGAGTCTCTCCTCCTCCCTCCTCATCAACTCCTCCTCCTTCCAGGTCTTGCAGGTCGTCGCCTCCTCCTCCCCCGCTGCTCGTCGCCTTCTCTCGGATGCCGTGGACGTGACAGTTTCACTGAGCGTGGGGGTCATGAACGGGTCGTACCCCTTCTCAGCTCTCCTAGCACGACAGCTTCTGGCCGACAGCTCGCTGATCCTGTCTTCCTCAGCTACCGTTGAGCGGAGCGGAGTGTGCGGCAACGGCGTGTGCGAGGTCGGAGAAGTTTGCGGGCTGAACGAAGGCTGTTGCATCGCCGACTGTCAGACAACCTCTCTCAGCTGCCCCATCGCCTCTCTCGACCGCGTCTGCAACAGCAGGGGGAAGTGCCTGAGCGGCAGCGGAGCCTGCGATTGCTTCCTGGGGTACGAGGGGGTCGCCTGCGAGAGCTGCTCCGAGGGCTTCGCCGCCAGCTACCGCAACGGCTCCCTCCTCTGCTCCTTCAACGCCTCCCTCGCTGCCGTCAGCTGGAACATCCCACAGCCCTGGGCAGCTTCCGAGTTCCTCCAGTACGCCGAGTGCATCGATAGCAGGGGGTGGATGGAGCTTACGGCGCTGGTGAACAACGGCACTGCACAGACGGGAGGGCTGGGGATGATGATGCAATATCCGATCGAGGTGTGGATGTGCATCAGAGGACATGCTTGCTTGCAGCGAGCAGCAGGAGCTGATCTCATCAACGATAAGATGTGCTTCGTCTACCATGAGGAGAAGCAAGTGTTCTTGGCATGGTAACGCTTTTGCTGCTGCTGCAGCTCCATGTGCGCTGATCTGTACTGGCAGGAACACGGACAAAGTCCTTAACCTCGCTCCTGATGACTAGGAGAGCGAGTAGAGCTGTCATATCGGCAATCAACAAGCATGAAAGGCAGCGGACAGGAGGGAGATACGAGAAAGCTTAACTTGTATTCTTGCACATGATTACATATCTACACATCCTACCTCGCTCCTCCTCCCACCCGGATTATCTCACGAGGGACTCGAATGAGCGAGACTTCCTGATTCTCTGCGGGGGTGCTGAGGGAGCGGAAAGCGACTCGCTGGAGGGTGCCCTTCGCATCGGATTCTCCGAGGTCGTTCTCAAGGAGCTCTGGCGGATCGGGGAGGCGAGGCCGGGCATGCAGGTGTGCTTTCTGGACAACAACTGCGCAGCAAGTCAGCAAGTGCAGGAGGGATGCATCAAAGACTCACGTTAGCATAATATCTGCTCCCGCTGCTGCTCAACACTCGGGGATGCGCCGGACGCGCTCTGCTCATCTCATGATGCGCTGGATCCTCAGGAGGAGGAGAGGTTGCGCCTTCAACACGGGGGAGAAGACGTTTGGTCTGGTGAACGATGACGACTCCGCTGGTTTGAGTCTGCTCTACAAATTTCTGGTTCCTCTTGGCTCTCTCCTCTTCTGCCTGAACCAGCTTGGCGACAAAGCGTTCCTCTGAGGAGTTGGATTTCGTTTCCTTGAGCGCCGGAGATTTCTTACTCCTTCGCTTGAGGAGCTTCTGCAAGACACGTTTCATGAGCGCAGAGCTCTTGATGGGCCAGGATAGAACCGTGAAGATGAACAACGCTAAGAGCCACATTTCAAGATTGACAAGAATCGCAGAGAAACTTTCAAGAGTACGCTTTTTCTGGGCCGAGGGAGAATCGAGAAAAGGTGGAGTCAGGTTTCGAGAGGCACAGGAGGAGGAGGTACAGGAGGTACAGGAGGTACAGGAGGTACAGGAGGTACAGGAGGTACAGGAGGTACAGGAGGTACAGGAGGTACAGGAGGAGGATGTTGGCACAAGAATCGGAGGGGAGCAGGACAAGGAGGTAGAGGACGAGATGATTGTGGTGGAGGCGGGTGAAGAGGGAGAGTAGTTGTAATGCGAATTGCTGACCCTGTCATCATTGCCAACAGTTACTTCTTGAAGGCTTTTCGTACTTTACTACAGAGCTACCGAAATACTTCATTTTACGTGCCCCACCATGACCATCACCACCCCCATCACCCTATGTACCCTACCCCTGACTGCCGTTCAACCCCTCAGGTCATGAAGGGCTGATCTAGGCAAAAAGGCCGAATATAGAACCCGAGCGCTCACGTACCTGTTGGACGGAAGGGTTATGGAGGGTGGGGTGGGTGGTGTAACATGACTAGGGTAGGGTGGGGTTCGACTCGGCTTCAGATTTTCCGGGACTCCAATTGTAGTAATAATCTAAGGAACAAAAAATAAACTGAAATTGAACTGTAGTCTAGTTGCATGTCCAAAATTTGAAATTTTCAAATAAATTATTCAGACTTGGTACCATTTTTGGTTCCGGAGGGCAAGGAACCTCAATCTGCTGTATGATTGCAAAGGGGTCAAATTCCACCGCTCAGTCCTAGTACCAATCTACTGACAGGCCAGATAACTGATACTAATCTTTATAGACATTTCTAGGAGTAACTGTACCAAATGAAAGTAATGGTACAAATACCAGGTACAAACCTACTTGAACTGAGGACCGACATTGAATTCTGGTACAAAAGTGATGGGCGGGCAGCCCCTGTAAAAGGGGCCGCTGAGGGCCCGGCCGGGCCCGGCCGGGGCGACGGGCTGTCTACTGAGGTTCTACTCCGGCCCACTCTTAAAAGAGTTTCAAACAATTCCGAAAATCACGGCACCTTGTCGACATGTTGTAAACTGAAATCGGAGCGTTTCGGAGCCCTATAAACTACAACGGAATAGTCCGACAGTTAGTCGCCGATATCTTTCCGCAAAATCCCCCGCGCACGCCCCCGTTCCGAATTCCCCGGCTCCGAGCAAAGATAAATATCGACCTCAGCCTTTGTCCGAGTCCTCCCTCCCAACAACTCCATCCTCCCTCCCAACAACTTCAAACTACCTCACATTGCTTTCTTGTCTGTTACGTGTGTGCTTCGAAGACAGACTTCAAGGGACGGGCACCTTACCATGAGCACACTATTCAGCGCTGAACCTCAAGAAGGCGAATCTGTCGATCAGGCCGTGCAGATATTGACCGATCAAGGATTTTCGGAACAAGAGATTCATCTTTGGATTTCTTCTTTTGAACAACATGAATCAAATGCCTTGAGTCATGACGAGACGAGATTCGAAGAGCACGATTTCTCCCCGGATAAGAAGCAACCTTGCTTACCCCGGTCTGAAAACAAGCAGGATGAAGTAGAACAGATTGCAGTGGAAACGCTTAAAAAGAAATGCACCAAATGGACCGCAGAAGAGCATTTGAAGTTTGTCAAGGCGTTGGATATCTTCCTCCCATCTTATGACAGTATTGGGCGCATAAATTGCAATACTGGACAGGTCTGTGTTGGATTGGGTGTGGGTGTTGCTGCAAAGATTGCTAGCTATATTGGAACTCGCACGGCTGTGCAGGTCCGATCCCATGCGCAAAAATACTTTCTTCGTGCAAACAAGCTGTGTTGGTCTACATAATTGTAACATCGCAGCTCTCGTTTCAAAATTTTCATTGTCTTCTGCTGTTCTGTTTAGATGTTGAGTGTTATTAATGACTTGATTACAAGTCTCGTCTCTACTCGAGAAGGGGCTATATTAAAAAGGGGTTAGTTCTTTATCTACACATCTGGGACTCATGATGAATATTCACACCTTGCATCCGACTATCAAGCCGGTTCGACCGAGAAGTCAACAAGGATAGGACCCATCACAGCTCCCCCATGAGAGAGCTTTGCATACTTGTTGTCTCCCTATCTTTCCATGCAACATTCAATCTGTGCCGCCATTTCTTGTAGCTCATCACAACTTCAACGACTCCAAGATCTCTCTGTTCACTCACAGTAAAGGCGGATAACTTCGTACCATTTTCTATAACTAATAATGTTACTCACTAAAGCCAATCCCTCCAGCGATACCGACAGTCACAGTTCACGATTGGTTCCCATATTTCGGGTTCAGGCTCAAATTAGATGAGGAAATTTGAAAACAAAGGTCATATTTCCTTGTCATGCCCTCCGTCCCGAAATCTTTCGCTCGGGGTTCGGAATCAAACGAAATTTGAAGCGAAAATAGAGTCCGGAGACCATGACCTCGTGATCGCCATCCAGGTGTTAATGAAGAGTCACGTTACTTCCGGATACCACTCGATTTCAAATATAAAACCACTTTTATAAATTCGGGGTTCCCGGAATCGTTGAGTTATGTTGTTGGATGACACTTCTCTTTACTACAGTGCTGACCATCAACCTGACTTGCGGAAATGCATCGTCCCCCCATTTACGTGTGTACGGGTGTTTTGAAGCTAAATTGGAGGGGTGGATTGGCGAATTTATAGCTTCATGTCAGCTGTCCTTAGCCGAGTCGAAATAGCATCTTTCCACAAGAACGTGAAGTAAAAAGCCGACAAACAGTGGGTAGTAATCAGAGGAAAAGAGGGGGTGGGGTGGGGGACGAGACTTGTGGGTTCCGCATATCAAGCAGAGGACGTGAGGGCAAACGCATAGAGCGCAAGCGCCAGCCACGAAAGCCAAGGCAACACAGTGAGGAAGAAGCTGAGGAAGAAGTTAAAGTCAAGAACAACTCGACGTTACGAAATACTCTGCAAGTCTACACAAGCGACAATTGACATGTTTCACGATCCGTTCATGCATAGCCTGGACTGTACCGAAATGTTGAACGAAGAGGAGAATTGGTATGCCCTTCCTCTTCACGAGTCCAGTGAAGAGATCCTTCATGATTCCAAGAGCTCTGATCTTCATTATGGCTTCCATGTTATGGCTGCAGAGTGTGAAGTCGAGAGTATTTGCCACAGCTTGGGCGAAGGAGAGTGTAACGAGTTTCCACTGTCATGCGACACATGGCACTCTTGCTTGGAAGAGAAGACCGTAAGCGTCTTTCCCGATCCAGTCTTCTCGTTGTTTTCACAGCAGACCAAGCAGCAGGACCAAGCAGCAGGCTTCATCGAAGCATGGAGCACAGTTGGTTGTGGTAGCTCGTCGGACTCTGACTCGGACTCGGTGGACAACAAGTTTGAATTCTACGGGCGGGTTCTTCCTTCCACTCGTGGGAAGCCCGCTGGAAAGAAGCAAGTGCAGTCGCAATGGACAGCAGAGGAGCATGAGCGATTCTTAGAAGCGCTGGAAAAGTATGGCTCGCAGTCAACGCGGCAATCCACTGACAGCGGTCGGGTGTTCGTAGGGCTAGGCAACGGTGTAGCGAAGCAGATTGCTGCGTATGTTAAGACAAGATCAGTCTTGCAAGTTCGATCTCACGCTCAGAAGTTTTTCTTGAAGCAGAGCAGGAAGTCGTGCAAGGTGTAGAGTGATAGAGGAGTGCATTCTTGTAAATGTTGAGGTCAACTCAAATCTTTAGAGTAAAGATGTTACACGGCAAATATGGATTGCTCTATCCTTGGTGAATCACTCGTCTTCCTCTCCTTCATTGTTTTCCTGTATGTTCCAGTCAAGGGATTCATGCACACAAGCCAAAAGAACCGCAGGAGGAGCGAGCATCGATCTGCTTTCTTCGTCAAACGCTACGTCGATGGCCTTTCTTCCAGATCTGTTGTCGGTGTCACTTTACACACGAGCAGGGTGATTACAAACCGATCCATCATCTCCAGATCTGCATTTGCCTCTAGCAACATCGTGATGCATTCTTTTTTTCCTCGCTGAATAAGAGGTGTCACGTTCAGGTTGTGACATTCTGATCCGATTCAACAGAGCAATTGACTGATGACAGCCACATTCGCACAAAGGAGGTTCAAGATGAGAAAGAGAGCGGGCGGGATCACTTCTCAAGGGGACACACGCAACAAAAACACACGGATCATTGTCTTGTACCAATGACGCGCGATGAAGTGCAGTTTGTCCAAGCTTGTTGTAAATGTTGACGTTTGCCTTGCCAGCCATCAAAGCCTGGAGGAGCCTACAAAGCTCATGAGCAGAAAAATGAGTGCAAGGATGAAAGCAAGAAGGATAATGAGGAGATGGGAAGGAGGAGGAGGAGTTGGAGCGGGAGAGGGAAGCTGTCTGCGACGAGAGGAAGTATCCCGAGTGACTAGTGCAGTCTCCCTCATGCTTTCTTCACCTGTGGTACCCAGTGGGAAGAAGGGGGATGCTCGGGTCTCGAGTGGCAGCAGCGACATGCAGCGCAGTGTCTCCCATCTGCCCCCCTGTCACGATTTCCACATGCTACTCCTCCCCGTGAACCTCGTCCTGTAGATCGACGTTGGCGCGCTGCTCAATCAGAAAGTTGACGATCTGATCGTCGTCCGGCTTAGGCCCGATAGTTTTGCAGGCGCACATTAGCGGAGTGAGTCCTGACTGCGGCAAGAGATCAGGGGAGCACGGGAGGGAGCAGAGGACTAAAGAAAGGAGGAGGGAGGAGGCGAGGAGCATGGAGGAAAGTACACGAGAGCACCCACCGCTCTCTTCCTTCAACGTACTGACCTTAGTCTGCTCGTTGACGTCCTCTCCCATCTCTACCCACTTCTTGACTTCAGCCATCGAACCTCTGTTTCCATCAGGATCAACCATGGCAGGGAGCAGCGCGCTAGAGAACAACCTATGGCATGCTGTGTGGAGAGGTGGCATGTGGGGGATGGTTTTGTCGTCAGGGACGGTCATGGTCGCCGTCGTCTGCTGCCTTCCGAGCGGCTTCTTGGAAATCGCCAGCATCCTCACCTAACAGCGATCTTAATGGGTTTCAGCTCATGGTTGAACCCTCCTACATGACCAGCGCCTCTCTTCTTCTCCCTCGGTATTCTTCCTCCCCACCCACCTCCGTCCTCCCAACATAATGCAATTCCTTCTCATCCTGCTCCCCCTCCCTCCTCATCCGTTGCCATCGGATTGAATGAAGCAGAGGAGGATGAAGGTGGGTCTCACTACGGATGATCACAGCCCTTCCTTCAAGTCCTTCTCCCTCTCCCTCTCCTCCTGTATCGTCTCCTTCCTCTCCCTATCGCCTCCGGACCCCCCAAACAGACGAACAAAGCTTGCGCAACCAGATCCTGAAGCTGCACTGGAAGCTGCAGCTGACCGTTGTTTCTGAGGGGGGATGTGGGATGACCTAGAAGTACAGAGCCGGGACTAGTGACTGAGGCAGGGCCCGGCGGCCGGGCGGCCCGTGCCGGCGACTTCGTTGACTCGCTGCTCATCATGGCAGTGACCTCATGATCCGATCCTGAAACGTGACTTACAGATCTGCACGATTGACACAAGATACAGGAATGCAGACATGGGAATGATCACCCGAGTCGAGCCTCCAACGTGCGGCGTGACAGCAGAAGTTGAACTATTAATAAAACTTTATTCATCAGCTGAGCGGCCACCGATTAAGCCTCGGATCATCACCCGGGACTCGGAAGGCTCGGAAGACAACCTAGCTACGGGGTTTCTGCCTTGACCTTCTTGCTTTCTCGAAGGAAGTGCTTCTGCGCATGAGAGCGGACTTGTAGAACCGACCTGGTCCCAACCGCCTGAGAAATCTTCTTCGCTACTCCAGCTCCCAGCCCAACAAACACCTTCCCTTTCTCCCTTGCACGGCACGCTTCCGGACAGAACTTCTCTAGGGCAACAAGGAACTTGTTGTGCTCCTCGTCCGTCCACTGGCTCTGATTGTAACTTGAGGACGTGTCAGCAATGCTGCTGTGCTGGCTAAATCCCATCGGCGGCATGTACGGCTGCGGCATGAATCCCTGGTGTAACGTGGAAGCAGGGAGGTGGTTGAAAGAAACGGAAGAATGAGCGAACCAATCCGATCGTTGCGACGTCTCCTGGGCCTGATGCGTTCCATAGTGAGATCCGCCGGCGTTGTAGAAGTTGTAACCTTGTTGCTGAGGGCCCGGCATTACCATCGAGCTGAATTCATCCACCACATGACCCAGGACGACTGGGTTACACAAGTTGTCATAGTTTTGCTTCACAGCACATTGATTCTCGTCTTGAGTGAAAGTTTGATGGTGGTGGTGATGATTGTGAGTGACTGGAGGCTCGAAGAGGGCAGACGTTGATGTCATGACGACATTGAAACTCGGAAAAGATGAATGCATAAGATGATTCTCCTGATGAAGAAGGTGGTCTTGAACGTAGTCCTTCTTGCTGTTGGCAGCAACATCCTCCGGGTAAAGGGAGGCGATTGCATCTTCTAAAGAATTCGCCGAGGTTTGCATTTTTTTGCCGACTATCAGCGATGTTGTGATGTTTCAACGAAGTCCCTGAGATTGTACCGATAATATGTGTGTGTTCCCCTTTGTGTTGTCTTCAGATCAGAAATCGATCGATTCTCTGAGCTTGTCTGTCTTCTTCACCTGCTTTGTTTGCTCGTGGTCGTTCAGGTTGGTTTCTGCCAGAGCTTCGCTCCCCTTGAATCACAAGGAATAGATGTGCACTCCGGCCCGAGTGATGTAAAATATCAAAATTACGTCGTTTCGCTAGAGAAACAAGCTCTGTCACGCACGGATTTCGTGCACATGGACTCGATGACCGTCAGCATTTGCCCTTTCGCAGGCTGAATTCATCTCAAATCCTCTAGTTGCTCTGATAGCTAGTTTTCCTCGAGTGTTGAATTAGAAATCTACTCGGCATCCACCCAAAGAGCTAAGTCCTTTTGATGACAACATTAGGTGGTCATGAGACCATTCTGATGACATCACTGAACTCAATTGAAGAAGTTGGCACCTTTACATTCCATCTTACTACACATGCTCGGCGTCAAACTCCGCTCTTTCGATGTGATGACCCTTGACCATCATCCCTCGTGACCGATGACGGGGCCGTCCTCCATCCTCGTGACTTGATCTGCCTCTCCCATGACTGGAGATGATTTGTAGAGTAAACATATTACTCATAATTTCCGCAAGCAGTCAAAAGGATAAAACCCCTTGATCGGGATCCTCCGGCATCGACACCTTCAAAGATTTGAAAAAGAGTCTTTCTGTAGTCGCAGCTCATAAATAGCGTTTACTACACCTTATAATAACAAAGTTGTACAGCAGTTCACGCAGTACAGATCCGGATCTGTTCCTCGAGTTTCCATGCACGTCGCTGCCAACATGCTTCCTCCCTCCCGCCCTCCTCCCTCCTCCTTCTCTGTCGACGATGCTGTCGACGCTATCTGGACTGGCTCCTCTATCCTTCCTTGTGACCCCATGCAGCTGTCAGCCTTCCTCTCCTTGTACCTCGACAAGACCCCGCTCGGGTACTGCTGGACCCCAGAGACTGCCCCCGAGGACTGCATGCCCTCCAATGGTCTCGGAGCGATGCCAGCCATCTTGTCTTACGAGAGCAGCACACCGATGAGCATTGACTGGACGGCGGAAGCTCCAGTGCACCATGGGGGCACTCCGAGCGAGTCGTCTGAGGCGTCTTCGAGCGACTGCGAAGTTTCCATGGGTGTCGCAGCAACGAGAAGGGACGAAGGGACGACAGGAAGTCAGCAGAATCAGAGTCAGTGGACGAAGGAGGAGCATGATCGGTTTCTACAGGCGTTGAAGAAATATCTTCCATCTGGAGCTCGTGAAGACCCGGTGACAGGGAAGGTATCGGTCGGGCTAGGAGCTGGAGTTGCGAAGAAGGTGTCAGAATTCGTGGGGACGAGAACTCCTCTACAAGTCAGGTCGCATGCGCAGAAGTATTTTTTGAGGCTGAACAAGAATCGAGGATATCGTCGTTGACATTCTTGGAATGTCGGTGGGAGGTTGAACCAGCAGTAAAGCGATTCCTTGTCAGTACAAGTCTTTTCAATCGAACGGTATCGCCATTCTCTTTGATGAATACGATCATGCTTCTTTCAATCATTGCATCAGAGCATTCAATCATTGAAGTTGAAAAGATAAGTTCTCAGTGTACAAATCGAGGTGGTAATCTGGAATATTAATTCATTAAACGTGGAATATCAACGACGACATCCTCGATTCTTGTTCAGCCTCAAAAAATACTTCTGCGCATGCGACCTGACTTGTAGAGGAGTTCTCGTCCCCACGAATTCTGACACCTTCTTCGCAACTCCAGCTCCTAGCCCGACCGATACCTTCCCTGTCACCGGGTCTTCACGAGCTCCAGATGGAAGATATTTCTTCAACGCCTGTAGAAACCGATCATGCTCCTCCTTCGTCCACTGACTCTGATTCTGCTGACTTCCTGTCTTCCCTTCGTCCCTTCTCGTTGCTGCGACACCCATGGAAACTTCGCAGTCGCTCGAAGACGCCTCAGACGACTCGCTCGGAGTGCCCCCATGGTGCACTGGAGCTTCCGCCGTCCAGTCAATGCTCATCGGTGTGCTGCTCTCGTAAGACAAGATGGCTGGCATCGCTCCGAGACCATTGGAGGGCATGCAGTCCTCGGGGGCAGTCTCTGGGGTCCAGCAGTACCCGAGCGGGGTCTTGTCGAGGTACAAGGAGAGGAAGGCTGACAGCTGCATGGGGTCACAAGGAAGGAAAGAGGAGCCAGTCCAGATAGCGTCGACAGCATCGTCGACAGAGAAGGAGGAGGGAGGAGTGCGGGAGGGAGGAAGCATGTTGGCAGCGACGGGCATGCGTACCGGGGGAATTGTAAATCAGGAACCTGGGGACAGAAGTTGCGTGTGGTAACTTACGATCCCCTGCAGTAATTCTGAATGTCTCTATTTTCGAGGTGATGTTTACTTGCTGACACAGATCTGTCAGCAAATCATCCCTGTCAGGTTTGGTAACGTGACATATCAATTACTAAACCTCTTGGTTCCGAAATCCCCGACCCGAATGTTGCCCCCATTCTGAGGCGAGTCCGGGAAGTTTGCTGACCGGCTCTTACGGCCCGCCCGATCGGAGCCAATCACTAGAGCTCCGATCGTGAACTGATCGTCCTGGTACTCATTTTGAACTTAACTTTGAGTAAAAAGGTGAGCTGGGATTGAAGGCGGAATGGGGAAGGGGGGGGGGGATTGAGATGGCGGAGGGGGGCGGAGGTTGAAGGAGCATGGGATGCTGGGCACAACAAGTGAGCTCAGCACACTTGCTCATTCTCTTTGCTGCCATCCGAGCTCATGCAATCTCCATCCTCCTCCCCACGGTTGTCTTGGTGCAGACACTCCGAGGAAACAGCTCCGTGCTGCTCTTTCCCTTCAAGTTAGATGCAGGCGAGCAAGCTCATGGTTGGACTGCATTACGACAAGACTGCAGCGGCTGGGACCTCCATGTCCGCCTTCAGCTCAAGCCAGACATGCGGCAAGGGACAGAGAGTGCACGGGAGGAAGGATCCTATCCGGTATGCAGACACTGCCATGAAGAATCACACGGCACTGCAGGACTAGCATGTCAGATATCGCTGCATGGCCTAGGTGCTGGGGATTATGCTGCTGCTGTTCTCCTTTCCCACGAGGGCCTCGGCGTCAAGTATCATGCGCAGGATCAAGTGCACGCCTGTCGTGGGCCGGAGGTGCGGATAGAGAGGGCTACCGACCAGTTCTCATCGGGGGCAAGCTATACCTTACATCAAGGTTCTCTGTAGGAACTCACGGCGGCTGCTCTCAAGGAGTGTCGGTTTCTCTTCAAACCAATGTTACTTTCGGACCAACAAGCTTCATGGACGAGAAGACGTACAGTGAGAGTGATATGAAGCTGCTTGGTGCATCAGCCCGACGTGAGGAACTGAAGCATGAGCTGGCTGTGGCTACAGGTTGCTACAACTACTCCTTGTTCATCAACTTGTCAGTCAGGACAGCAGGCAGCAGCTACGAGAGTTCTCTCTTCCAGAGTGTGCATGTTTGCATGAGCGAGTCAAAGCCCTCCGGCCTCAGGGCCTCTCCAAAGCTAGGCATCGAGTGCTACGACCCCCTTTGCAACTGTGAGGAAGACCGGTCCTGCTCGCTCGTTGGAACTTGTACAAACTTTCAGCTCCTCAACCTGTTCGAACACCTCCAACTCGCAGCCCAGCACACGAACAAGATCGCGCGAGGAGATCTGCCTGCAGCTCATGCCCTGCCACCTCCCACCATCGACATCCCCATCTACGTGATCAACCTGCCTGACAGGAAGGACAGGAGGAGGAGCATGGAGCGGCTCCTGCCAGCCCTCGGGATGTCGCGACTTCTCTTCCCCCGTGTCACGTTGGGCAGCAGCCTCGACCTCGACGAGCTGGTGGAGGAGGGGAGGCTGTCCCTAGCTGGCCTCCAGCTGATGGGTGCAGACTCAAGTACGTCCCTCAGTGCCGTGAGGAGGTTTGTCGCTCGAGCTCTCGACCAGCTCGAGTTGGTGCGGCAAGGGCTGGAGACAGGAGCGAGCATGTTCGGCATCTTTGAGGACGATCTCATGGTGCAGGATGACCCTCGTGCTGTCGGTCATCGAATCTCCTCCGCCATGCGCGAGCTCCCGCCGTCTGCTGACCTGTTGCATCTTGAATTCTGCTTCGAGAGGTGCCGGGTCCTGTGCTTGCAGCAGGCTTCTTCCTCCCTCCTGGTCCGCGCTAACCGTCCGCGCTGCTCGGGAGCCATCATCTTCACGAGGAAGGGAGCGGAGAGGGTGCTGGAGCTGTGCGACCCAGTTTTCCTTGCCATAGACAACATGCTGCCTGCTCTCATCGAGCGAGGGCTGCTGGAGGGTTACATTCTCAAAGACCCGGCGTTCTTTCAGGTGAGAAGATGTTGACGTCTGCGTGCTTGCGCGTGCTGATGGTGAAACCTGTTGCTCTTCCTCTCAGACATGCTAGCTGTCTGTGCTGACTGCTGTTGCAGGATGGGTACTGGGGATCAGACGTGGAGAGGAAGGAAGCAGGGACCCTGTCGTCAGTCAACCATCCGCAGCACGTCCCTGTAGCCTCCTTGTGCGAGGAGGATTTCAACCCGCGGTCTGAATGGTCGAGGAGGAAAAAATTCTTCCTGGCGTCAGTGGTGGAAGGAGGAGGAGAGGCGGCGCGATATGTGAGTGCTGTGTACGGGAGAGATGACTGCGGGATGGAAGCTGAAGAAGGAGGAGAACTTGTCATCGTCCCGAGCTCTCTGTCTCCTTCTCTCCAGCTCTTGTCGCCATGCTCACAGGCTGTGGGTCTGCCCTCCTGCCTCGTCCCCAGCAGGGCGATGGATGGAGACCTGGCAGGGATCGAGTGCGACGAGGGGGAGGAGGATGAGATCTCTCTTGCAGCAGGGAACGATGCTCTGCTGATGCACAAGTGCGACGGAGATCGATACTCGCTCCTCCTCCTCTCGCCCTCCAGCGTCTGCTACTATGAGCGCTGGTGCGATCTTTTCATGCTGAGCTCGGCGAGGAAGGGATGCCATGGGGCTCAGAAGAAGTTGGTCGCTACCGCCTTCCTCATGCGGAGTAAGAGCTGGGAGGACAGGGACGTGTGCTTGTTGCTGTATGGAGATTCCCTCGAAGGAGCCTCCAGTTTCATCGCAAGACTAAGACAGAGAATAGGAGGAGGAGGAGGAGGAGGAGGAGGAGGAGGAGGAGGAGGAGGAGGAGGAGGAGGAGGAGGAGGAGGCAATTTCTCTTTGGGGCATGTGATTGGGTTCCAGTCAAACGAGGAGGTGGAGGAGGAGGTGGTCTTGTTTCCTGCTGCTCTGTCTCCAACCAGCGTTCAGCGGCTGCTGCTGCACGAGGCTCTGAATCGCTTCCTCTTTCCTCTCGTTTGCTTCCGCAGCTTCCTCTTCTGTCGCCTCGATGCGCTGGCCCTGTGCTGGGACGAGGCGATCACGCTGCTGGAGGACGAGGGACCAGCGACAAGGGACGAGGTGCAGGGACAGAGGGAGGCAGGAAGACGGAGGGTGAGGAAGGGCAGAGGCGATCAGGGGGGGGAGGAGAGGCGACAGGACAGAGGGGAGGAGAGAGTTGAGGACAGGAAGGGGATGAACGGAGATGATGAAACAGGAGCTTTTTCCTTGCAATGGGATCAGGTTCAAAATTTCCTGGGCTCTCAAACTTTCTGCAGCTAATAACTCCTGCCTTCTCGCTGTCGTGACATGCGAAACTTAACATGACATGTACAAGAATAGTCTGTAAATTTCTTGACCGAGTTGGTCCAACAATAATGTAATGATACACTGAAAGCAATCTGAATCTATTTTGCCTTTCTTGTCTTGTTGCCCTTGTCACTGACCCTCGCGTGTGTGAGATCTGATAAAATTCTTCCACCTTGACATTGTCAACACCTCCCAGTCCCATTCCATGGAGAGAGCAAGTTCCCTAGAACATGCTCAATGGGAGGAAGAGAAGGAGGAAGAGAAGGAGGAGGCGGGAGGAGGAGGAGGAGAACGAGGAGGAGGAGAACGAGGAGGAGGAGAACGAGGAGGAGAACGAGGAGGAGAACGAGGAGGAGGAGGAGGAGGAGGAGAACGAGGAGGAGAACGAGGAGGAGGAAAGAGGAAGAGAAGGAGGAGGTGAAGGAGGAGCAGGATGAAGAGGGGAACAAGGAAGAGGAGGAGGAGGAAGTTGAAAGAGGAGGAGGAGGAGGAGGAGGAGGAGGAGGAGGGAGTTTGATTACCAGGCTCGTTCCAGCACGCAGAGTTGAACCGAGCTCCAGTCAGAGACGAGGAGGACAGGAAGCGAAGGTCCCAGGACCTCAACAGTGTAGGAGCAGAAGGTTTCGCCTCCTTCTATGATGCAAGATCATGGACACAAGAAGAGTAGAGCTTGGTTAGAACGAAGCAAGGTGGAAGGGGAAAGAGGAGAGGAGAGGAGAGGAGAGGAGAGGAGAGGAGAGGAGAGGAGAGGAGAGGAGAGGAGAGGAGAGGAGAGGAGAGGAGAGGAGAGGAGAGGAGAGGAGAGGAGAGGAGAGGCTAGACCTGTTTCGTGTACGATCATTCCTGCAAACTGACGAGCAAACAAGGAGTCTTCAACGATGGGGATGGTATGCAAGTAGAGGCATTCCCTGCAAACTTCGTCGCTCCTCCTTCATCCTTCACGACTCTACCTTACCACATCCTATGCGTGTCGATCCCGTTCCCGCGAGGAGAAGCTGCTCAGGATGATGAGCAAGAGCAGGAGCAGAGCAGGAGCAGAGCAGGAGCAGAACTCAAATGTATTATTGTCTCTCACGTACCACAGAAGCGATGAGATGAAGTCTTGAGGAGATACTCTCTTGTTCTCTTGTCACTTCCTCGCATCACCGCACCTGATCGTCACCTGAACGGAAGTTTCTCCCCCTCAACAGTCGCAAAGTCCAGCTGTGATAAGATCTCGAAGACTTGCTGACGTCCCGGCGCATGCTCGCTGACCTGAAGTGGATACCACGATCAGCATGGAGGAGGGGGAAGGTAAAGCAGTGGAGGAGGGAGGAATGAGGAGAGTGGCGAGAGGCGAGAGGAGAATTTGGGCAAGTGCACTGCAGGAACCAGGTGATAGTGATCAACAGTAGAAAAGTAACAGGAGAAGGCGGGGAGGACAGAAGGAGAATGACAGACTGAGGGGGGGGGGGGCCGGGGGGGGGGAGGGAGGAGGAGGAGGAGGAGGAGGAGGCGTCACCGAAGGCAGAGTTGTTGAGGAAAGAAAGAGAGAAGGAGACTTGATGGAGGTCTGGAGTACCTTGAAGGCAACGTGCAGCCATTCGTTCTTGGAGGAAGCGTCTTGGCTGCTTCTCATCACCTCGGACATTGTCGTCAAGTCACCATGTCGCCACATGCTGTTTGCTAGCCCGATGGGCAGCCAGTTGACGGCAGGGTGAGGACAGACAAGGTTCTGAGCCCACCACCCTATGATCCTTCCGCTGCTCAAGGCGCTCCTTGCTCGTTTCTTCCACTCCTCCTCTCCTCTTCCCTCCCTCAAGTCAAGCTCCTCGTCTCCGTTGTGAGAGAGCAGGACGAAGGGAGCATAGATGGCGCTGAAAGCTTCCCCGAGGAAGAAGCGAGGAAGAAGATGCGAGTAGACAAAGACGGTCCCTGCCAGCACAAGCCTCGTCCTGTTCCCGCTGACTATGTTCCCCTCCTCGTCTATCAGAATGATCGCATGCTCCTCCTTGATCACGTCAGGGAGGCTCCGATGGTAAGCAAGCCAGGAAGCTGTCACAACGCTGATGTCCGCTATGGCTTGCAACCGCTCGCCGGTGATGATTTCGCTTCCTCCTCCCCATCCTGAGCATGCCAGGCTTGCATGCGAGCTCAACGTGTTATCGCTGCTGCTGCTGCTGCTGCATGGCACATACAACGTCGCAAGGAACAAGAGCTTGCAATTCAATCTCTTGACCTTGAAAGACATCGATCATCGCGAGCCTTTCATCCTGAGTGTCCTATCGTGCGTGCTTGTCTGTTGTATCATGAAGCATTGCTGCAACCAAGATTCATCAACGACACAGGACCTTCCCTCCTCCTCCTCCTAAGATAACTCACACTGAAGATTCTGACCTGCGATCATCTTACGATTTTGTTGTACCAGTCTTACTTTGTGTCGCTTTCATCATTCTTACATCTTCTTTCATTCTCACGCGTGTGTTCTCTTGAACAAGTGTGCTTTTCTCTGCCCTGCCCTGCCATGCTCTGCCCTGCCATGCTCTGCCCTGCCATACTCTGCCCTGCTCTTTCTCCTGGTCCGTACTGCCATGGGACCCAACGTAGCTGACAACGGGCCAACCCTCATGGTCAGTGTGGGAAAGAGGTCTACCATCCCTGTGTTGGGCTAGTAGGGTGGGTGATTTATTTTATAGGTGGGGTACTGTACCTTGGTCGCTAATAACTGACAAAAATAGTTCAAGGGAGGGGTATTTGTTTCATGGTCCCAATAATGACGTTCATAGGTGGGTAGTATGAGACCTGGGTGGGGTACAGGAGCCGAAACGAAGTGTCGCGCGGCTATGATTTCATGGCATATGAACTCGAGGCATTGGAGGAGGAGGAGGAGGAGGAGCAGGGGAAGGAGGAACAGGAGAACAATAGAGATTGTCATTGCAACGATGATGATGACGACGACGACGACAATCATGGGGATGTGGGACGATACCATGAAGGAAATGAAAAGGGAAGCAAGAATGAGAAGTACAATTACAGAGCTTGCTTTCAGTGTAGAACAAGATGTTGTTCGTGAAATATACAGGAGCAAACATGAGAGACAGAGATGTAGACAGTAGTTGATTGCAGCTTTGTACATCCTTCATGGCGGGGAAAGATACCGGTGTGTTTTTTGCAATCAAAGGTTCCTTAGATGTAGAAGTTGTTCTTTTCATCCGTCGGCCATGAGATAGAATACATCCATTGCAGGGATCAGCCTGAGTTCATTAAGTCGACTGGTTTGTTTTGAGGCCCTTGTAGCATTTTATGGATAACGAGCTCTTGTGTTTGACATGTAGCCGACAGGTTCTCTGTCCTCGAAGCAATGGAGGAGGCGCTGCGACGTCGTCGGGTGACAGCGGCAGCAAGTATTTATCTTCATGCTGTGATGACCGAGGAGTCTGCATGAGAGTGATTGGTCGCACAGTTGCTTCGGCTGTGCTGGTGCTGGTCGTCGGGCTGGCAGGATTGTCCATTGATGTCAGTTGCATCGAAGACATTGTCTTGACCTTGACTGTTGTCCCGCAGAAAGCGATTTCTCTTGCCGAGCTTTCATCTCTACCGCAACTTCAAGTCTCAACGACAGATGGTCAGAGTCTCGCTGCAAGCAAGTCCAGACGCACTCAGGTACGGGCGGGTGCGAGCTGACTTGGCTGGGCTGATGGTTGTTGTTTGCTCCAGACGTTGCCCAACTACAAGGTCACGCGATCGGGTCGGGATGTAGCAAGTGACATGCAGCAACAGGTGCAGGGTGACATTCAGATCCCCGACGGCCTTGGAAACTCCATCGGTCAGGGTTCGATGAATGTCAGTCCTACCTCAATGCCTGGCCGCCTACCCTTGACCCCTGCCCTCTCAAGGTGGTCGACGATGACACGAGCCCCCTCTCTATCGGGCGTGTCGAGGTTCGAACGGTTCCAGCTGCCCCAACAGTAGCACCGAAAGGTGAAGTTACAAGTTTGTGCTGCTGATAATCACGGTGGTATCAGTCATTCGGTACGGGGACGTGCAAGTCCAACCTGCCGGCTGCCCGAACTGTCCTGTGCTGGACACTGAGGTGAGGAGGAGAGGCAGGATGGTTGTCTTGGTGTCTCTGACTGCGATCAAGGCTGTTGGTCTGCAAAAGGAGAAGATAGAGGAGAATCAGGTGAGTCAAGGGAGGATGGGGCTGCGATCTTCTGACTTGTCGTTCCAGAAACGCCTCGACGACTTGGAGTTGGAGTACGAGCAGAACAAGCAGAAGCTCATCAAGATGATCGATGACATGAAGATCCTCAAGGTTCCTCCCGCTCCCTCAGTCCGATGTCCATGCGAGGCTGACGCTCTTGCTCGCAGACTGTGATGCATTCTGCTGTCTTTGACATGAAAGAAGCGGTCAGGAGACTTGATCTTGATATAGAGGTGCCTCTCCCTTTCCCCCTTTCCCCTCTTTCCATCCTTTTCTGCCCTCATTTCTCTGTTGTGCTTGCTCGCTGCTTCGCTCCTGCTCTCCTGTCCCTCCCTCCCTCCCTCCCTCCCTCTTCCGCTCTTTCTCTCTCTCCCTTCCACTCACTCACTCTCTCTTGCTCCTTCCCTCCCATTCTCCCTCACTCCCTCACTTTCTCCCTCTCCCTCTCCCTCTCTCTCCCTCTCACTCACTCACTCTCTCTCTCTCTCTCTCCTTCCCTTCCTCTCCCTCTCTTCCCACCCCCTTCCCTCTCTATCTCCTTCCTTCTTGCTTCACTCAGCTCACCTTGTCTTACCTCAGAGCAAGATGGTAGCGCAAGAGAACTCTACAGGTCCAGAGGGAGATCAAGGTCATTGATCCCTTTCAGCTTCTCGTCTACCTCTGCTTGCTGTGCTTCTTCTCGCTCTACTTTTAGCTACTCCTCTCCTCTCTCTTTCCCTTGCACCCGCTCCTCCTCTCCTCTCCCTCCTCCCCCTTTCCTCTCCTCTCCTCTCGTCTCCCTCCTCCCCCTCTCCTCTCCTCTCCTCTCCCTCTCCTCTCCTCTCCTCTCCTCTCCTCTCCTCTCCTGCTCCCTCCATCAGTTGTTCTTCCTCTTTTCCTTTCCTTCCCTTCTTTTCCTTCCCCCCAATGCTGGAGGGCTGACGCAACCTCAGGCCCTCCAGGGTACCCGGGAGAGGATGGAGTGGACGGAGAGCCAGGAGAGCCCGGGCTGCCGGGAGCCGAAGGGCCTCCGGGGCCCCCAGGAGCTGCTGGGAAACAAGGTTTGCAAGGACTTCAGGGACCACAGTAAGCACTTCTCCTACTCCCCCGCTATCCGCTACTCCTCTTCCTCCCCGTCTACCCGCTACCCCTCCTGCTCCTCCTTCAGCCCGTCTTCCTCCTGCTCCTACTCCTCCTACTCCTCCTTCACTACTACCGCCACCTTCTGATCCTCCTTCTCCTCCTCTCAGTCCTGACCTCGTTGTGGCTGCAGGGGTCCACCGGGACCACAAGGCAGGGAGGGGCCGGAAGGTCCGGTTGGCTTGGTAGGAGCACGGTACAGCAAGCCTTGCGATCCTCTTCCTCCTTCTCACGTGCAAGAGCAGGGGAGAGAGTGGGGATCAAGGGCCATCGTCAGTGGAGCTGAGGTGCTCAAGGATAGGAGGACAAGCTTACAAGGTAGGAAGGGAGGAGATGTGGGAGAAGGTTTGAGGGGGGTGGAGGAAGGGCTGGACAGGAGGAACCATGGGAGAGGAGGAAGGTGGGGGAAGCAAGAGGGGTCCGTCTGACTGGGTTTGAAGGGGATCTGCTTCAAGTCAGTGATCCTGGAGAAGAACAAGGACAAAGAGCCCGAGGACTGCAAGTAAGCGGGAGGAGAAAACCCCTCAGCTGCCACTGACACGTTGAAGGGTCTGGGTACCTAAGAACGTTTGGAACGAGGGAGACTGGTGGAACCTGGTAAAACTCTTCATGCGCAAGGTGACACTGCCCTTTCTCCCTCCTTTCTCCTCTCTCCTCTCTCCTCTCTCCTCTCTCCTCTCTCCTCTCTCCTCTTTACTTCCCTTTTCGTGTTGGGGTCGTTATGATCTTCCTTTTCCCTTGCTCACACACTCTCCCCTCTCTCTTCTCCTCGACTCCTTGCTCTTCTCATCGTCGAGCAGGAAACAACCAGCCGCATCAACAGAAACAGCGTCGATGGCGGAAGGTAGAGTGTCATGCTCGAGCGCTTCTATTATCGTTGTCTCCGTTATCACCATGATCTCCATCATCATATCATCATCACAATCATGATCATCAGTTACCACCATCATGACGCATATTACCGCATCCATGATGATTTCATCACCAGCAACTCGTCCCTCTGATTGTGGGCCCATGACTGAGACCTCAGGTGTTCCAACTTCCTGGCTACCATGAGCTTCACACAAGGGGAGGAGGAGGTAAAAAGGCTGATGTGTCGCCGGCAGCGGAGCTGACCTTCACTCCAGACCCGCACGTGGATCAACAAGAGAACCTTCAGCTTCACACCGTCTGCTCCGGTTCCCTTCCTCCCTCAATCACTCATTTCTCTTGTCTCTCACCCTCTCGTCCTCCTCCCCCTTCTTTCTGCTGCTCTCACTCCTCCCGCCCTCTCCTCTCTCCTCATCCCCGTCCCCCTCCTCGCCTCCTCGCCTCTGCTTCTCATCTTTCCGTCTCTTCCTCTTCGTCATGTTTTCGAGTGGCTGGCTGACTAGCGAGCAGGGAGAAGAATGTCACGCTTACTTCAACCCGGACACTCTCGCCGTCTACGCGTGTGCAGTCTGATCCTCCTTCGAGTGTACATACATTATGCTGCTCCCCTTATCCTCCTCCTCCTCCTCCTCCTCCTCCTCCTCCTCCTCCTCCTCCTCCTCCTCCTCCTCCTCCTCCTCCTCCTCCTCGGTGAAACGAGGAAGCAAGGAGTCTATTAGAAGCCGCGAGGAGGGTTCACCCCCATCTTCTTCATCTGGTCCATCATCTTGTTGATCTCCGATGGATCTTGCATCATGCGCATCACCTGAGGGTACATGAGACATTGTTCACCCTTCCCTTCCCCTACTCCCTCCTCCTTCCCCTCTCTCCTCCCTTCCCTTCCCTTCCCTTCCCCTACTCCCTCCTCCTTCCCCTCTCTCCTCCCTTCCCTTCCCTTCCCTTCCCTTCCCTTCCTCTTCGCCCTCCTCCATCCCCCATCCTCTCCCCTTATCCCTTTCCTTCTCCTCCTCCCTCACCTCAGGATTCGACATAAGGTTCTCCGTCATCTTCTGGAACTTCGGGCTGCTCATAAGCTCGTTCATACCCTTTCCGCTCGACATCGCCTGCGCTCTTGCCGTCATGTCCCCGTCGTCAACCCTCCTGTCTCCCCCTCCTGTCCTCTCCCCTCCTGTCCTCTCCCCTTCTCTCTCCCTCCCCTCCTGATCTCTTCTCCTCTCCTCACCTCTTGGAACTCTCTCATCGTCTCTGGATCGTTCATCATTTGCTTCGACAGGGCCTGCAGCTTCACGTCATTTCTCGTCGCTCCTCCTTGTCTCTCCCCTCCTCTTACTTCAGCCTCCTCTGCTCTCCTCTCCTCCTCCTCCCCCCTTCTGCCCCTAAGCCTTCGCTATCCTACTCTCTGATCCCTGTTTCCTCGCCAACTCTTTCATCCCTGCCTCGCCTTCTCTTCTTCTCCCCACCTGAATCATCGGATTGCCCATCATGTCGTTGAGAGCCGATTGGTCCACCTTGTCAACCAGAGGCGTTAGGAAGGCGCAGGGGCGATGACACCACGTTGAAGTAGAGAAGTAGAGAAAGGAAGAAGAGGGGAGCAGAAGAGGAAAGGAAGAGGCGAAGGTGGAGGAGGGAAGAGAAGATAGAGGAGGAGAAGGTAGGTGGAGAAGGAAGGGATATGAGGGAGAACCTTGGTAGGATCGAAATCGGCAGCAGCAGCAGCAGAGGACATGTCCTCCTCAGCAGGGTTGTACTTCCTGCAATCGAACATGGTAAGAGAACAAGGAACGACCAAGAACTGGAAGATCGCCAGGAGGAGCAAGGACGAGAAGGAGAGAAGAAGAGAGGGAGGAATGATAAGGAGAGGGGGGACAGAGGACAGCACAGCAGGGGACACGAAAGACGAAGACGGGAGTGTGGGGGTGAGCAGGAAAGGCGAGGAGAGAACGGGAAGGGGCAATGAGAAAGTAGGGAGACAGGGAGGGAAGGAGGGAAGGAGAAGAAAAGTGAGGAGGGAGGAGCGGGAGGATTTTCTCCAACCTTGTCGTCACTGTCCTCGGAGACGACTGAAGCTCGCGGAAAAGAGCGACGAGCTCTGATTTCTCCACCAGACCTGCACGAAGAGCGTCAGCAAGAGACGATCATGAACGAGGGGGTGATTTAACGACACAAGAAGGAGGAGAAGCAAGAAGAGGGGCAGGGGGAGCAGGGGGATGAGCAGGAGCAGGAGGAAGAGGAGGATGAGGAGGAACAAGAGGAGGAGGAGACGAAGAAGAAACCTGACGGGTTGCCTCCAAGCTCCTGAATCGCCTTCTTGAGCTCAGCTGCTTTCATGGTCGCAGGATCCTTTCCTGGGAACTGTGGGTGAGAAAGGTGCAACAAGAGCGATGGAGGCGAAGAAGCGAGAGAGGGAGAAGATGAGGGAGGAGGGAGGAGGGAGGAGGGAGGAGGGAGGAGGGAGGAGGGAGGAGGGCTGAACCTGCGAACGTCTCTGCACTCGCTGCTGCGGTCTGATACGCTTCTGCTGCCTTAGCTCCAGCTGAAGCTCCAGCTGCCGCAGCTGATGCTGCCCCCCCTGCAGTTCCTCCCACGTTCATGGGGGACGAGGCGCTTCGAGCCTTCATGGCCGCTTTTGCCGCCATGGCAGCGAGCGTGACTATGAGAACGTGAGTGGAGGAAGGTGAGTGGGAGGGGATGGGCAAGGGGAGAAAGAAAGGAGGAGGAGGGGGGGCAGGAGAGGAAGAGGAGGAAAAGAAGCGGTAACGGAGCGATGTCAAAGAAGGGAAGGAGAAGAATCAAAAAGAGGGCGAGGGAGCAGGGAAGGAGGAACAAGGCAGAAGAGAAATAGGAAGTGCATGAGTTGAACAAGGAAAGGAGGAGCAGAAGTTCGGCTTACGAGTGCCGCGGTTCTTGAGGAGAAACTTCCCTGTCACACCGAGACCGACAACTCCAACAGCAACCTGACGAGAATAAGAAGAGGAGCAGTGAGTGACTAGATAGACTGTCAGGAGGAGGATGGGGAGGAGGAGGAGCAGGAGGAGGAGCAGGAGACAATATTACAGTGACTGGAGTTGGGATGTGAAATCCGCCGCTCTTTCCTCCCAGCTCCTCAAGCGACAACCCCGTGTCCAGGTAGTAGCCCAGCCCCTGCCCAGCTGTCACGTCTCGTGCTTGCCGCCAGACCTCACGGTCACCTTGGGGCCAGTCTTGAAGACGAAACCTTTCTTGGCGCCTTCCCACTCTGATAACTTCATCAGACAAGAGCAGGGACGCTGTTGGGGGAGGGAGGGAGGGAGGGAGGGGAGGGGAGGGGAGGGGAGGGAGGGAGGGAGGGAGGGAGGGAGGGTAGGGAGGGAGGGAGGGGAGGGGAGGGGAGGGAGGAGGAGGGAGGTAGGGACGGAGGGTAGTA